GCCCGGCGACATGGCCGAGTTGAGCGAGGAGCCGGTGAGGTTGTTGATGTTGTTGAGGCCCGAGTTGGGCATGCCAGGCACGGCGCCTGGTCCCATGCTGGACGGCATGGTCATGGAGGAGATGGAGCTGGGTGCCGAGAACATGGACTGCGACGACAGCGGGCTCATAGAGTTGAAGAAGGTGAAGCTTTTGGTGGAGAGCGGCGCTGGCGCCAGGCTCTTGGCGGCCCAGTTGTTGTAGGAGTAGCCGGCGGCGTACACGTCCTCGTAGGGCTGCACCAGGCCGCTGAACTGCGGCACGTAGCCACCCTTGCACAGGTCCAGCTGCTGGTTACGCTCACGCTTCCGCCACTTGGCTCGCCGGTTCTTGAACCAGACCTGGGGGAGGGGACGGGAGAAGGGTCAGGGCTGCTGTGGGCCGGGAGGGCCCCCACCTGGCTCCCCACCGCCTGGAGCCCTCCATCCGCCCGCTGCCCTCCGAACTGTCGTTTCTCTCCTTCTACCGATATTTCCGCTCCTGCATTCCCTCCACAATGGTTCCTTTCCTGTCCCCAGAAAATACTATTTTCTTTTTCTGATCTTTATCCTCTCTCCCAAATTATATCCATTTTCTTCTCCGAATACAGATTCTCATTTATTTGAACAGATACTCGTTTTCTTTCTTCCTCTCTCAACCAGTTCACCTCTGCCTTCTCCCCCAAACGGGTTCACTCTACTAAATATTTCAGTCTTTTTATTCTCCCTCAAATACAAAAGGTATTTTTCCTCCCTGAGACATAGGACTTTCCGACTCCCCCAATTCTTCGATCTGTTTCATCGCTCAAATAGTTTGCTATCATCTTTATCAGCAATATTTGATGTTTTCTTTTCGGCTCCAAATATTTATTTTCGTTTAGTCCATTCCGCTGTCTGAACCTCTTTCTTCTCCCTCAGTCTGTTTTCTTGTTTATCCCCCATTTTTGATCCTTTTGAATCGTCCCCAAATATTAGGCTTTTTCATCCTTTCCAAATATCTGACCTCTACTGTTCCCCTTAAACAGTTGATTCTTTTTCTCAAATACCTGATCTTTTTGCTTCCTAATTTCTTTCCTGCCGCCTAAATATATGCCAAATATGTTTCTCCACAAATATTTATTTTTTTCTATTCTTACTAGTTTCTTCTAATCTTCCTGCCCTTCCTTTTCTCCCCCCAAATTTGGTGACAACCTCCTAGTCCTTCCCCATCCTTACCTATCTGCCTACCGCATGCTCTCTGCCCTCTCGGATTTTCCTTCAGTTCTGAGTGAAGTTTCCTGAGCTAGTTTGCCAGACCCCTGCTTCTCAGCTTTCCCTAGTCCCCAGCACTGACACTGCCTGATTCCACCCCCACTCACCCCTACCACCATAAACCTGGGCAGGATTAGTGAGTTCAGGATTACTGAGTGCTGTGTCTTCACTCCAAGTCCCACTGGGCTGGCCAGCCTGCCTAGGGAGGGGTGCGGGTTATGGTAAGGAGTCTGTGGGCCAGGTGGGACTTCGGTCGACTTGGGAGGTGCTCCCAATATCTGATTAAATATTTGCGCCCCCAGGGAAGAAATGATTCTGTTGCTACCCTGGCAGGAAAGCCTTGCTTTTACTTGAAACCGAACGGGTGAGAAGAGGGAGAATGCAGGCTGGTCTTGGGTCTGAGATGGCATATCCCAAAAGGGATTGGGAAGGACATTTGGGTCCCAGAGCCACCCCCCACCTCACCAGACAGGAGACCTTCTGGAAAAGGCAGAAGGCAAAGGGTCCTACTGACGGCTGGGGAGGGTGGAGAATATCTTGAGCTTTTAGAGAATCTGCTTGTGAGATGGGACCACTGCTCCAGGAAGTTTTGAGAGCCCCAAACCCAGGCACCTTTCTGGCTTCTCCGAGGCAGCCAGGCAGGACCTGCCTTTCCCTTTCGTTTTCGGGGTAAAGCCAGCAGCTCCCGAAGTCCCCAGCGGCAGGGAATCCACTGCCCAGTCTCTGGCCCAGGGTATCCTGTTAACATCCAAGTGGGTCCTGGGCCCCACAGGGCATGGGGGAGTCCCCTGAGGGCACAGGTCTTTGGGCTGGGGCTGCCTTAGTCCGAGGATCAGGTAGGATGACGGTCAGAGGGGTTGGAGGTCCATGGCGGCCTGGAGGCCTGGCAGACGCTAGGTGGGCCAGGGCCTAAGGTGGGGATCGCCGGTGGTGGGAGGGACCAGTTCTGAATGGTGGGAGAGTTAAGGTCTGCTTGTGGGTCTAAGCTTTGGAGGGCTGCAGCAGAGGCGGCCCGGGAGCCCTCTGCGCGGGTGCTCTTAGGCGCACCCCTTGCTCACCCGCACGCGCGGCTCGGTGAGGTTGGTCCACACGGCGATCTCCTCCCTCATGCTCATGTCGGGGTAGCGGTTCCTCTGGAACGTGGCCTCTAGCTCTTGCAACTGCTGGCTTGTGAAGTGCGTACGTTGCCGCCGCTGCTTCTTCTTCTTGGCTGGGTCGTCTGCGCTGCCGCAGCCCGTGCCTCCCGTGCCACTGTCCTCAGGCCCTTTGGATTCCCCGCCGCGCTCCTTCTCTGCAGTAGGCAGGACGTGGAGCAGGTCACCTGGGCTTACGCCCCGTTGCACCCCGTCCCGGCTCCACCGAAGCGCCCGCCAAGCCACCAGCGCTGGAGGTCTTCCCTCCTTCCCTCCCTCCAGGGTCCCTGGGAACTGTCCCCACTGGAAAGCGCCTGCCGGGTGCTGGTCGTCAGTAGGCACCTCTAGTCTGGTGTACCGCGGAGAAGAGCCCAAGAATCGGAGCCCTAGCCGCGGGCCTGGGTTCCTGGCTGGGCAGGGCCTGCACCCTTAGCTCGGCTCAGACTGCCCTGCTGCTGATGTTCGGAGCAAATGTATGCTTTGTTTTGTTTGTTTTGCGAGCTCTTAGGGGGTCTAAATCTGAGGGGGGTCTCTGCTTTTCTGAACTAGGAGCAGATCTTTCCAGCCTAAACTCCTCCACTTTTTTCTCCTCAGGGATGTGTGGGAGCCCCACTGGGCAGGCACAACACAGCCGGTTCTCGGCCTTGCTTCCAGGCCTCCAGTCCCAAAGCCTAGAAAACCCCACCAACTGCAGCCCAGACAGCCAGACTCTGTCTAGGTGACCTCGGGCTTCAGTCTGTCTCTCTTTGAAGCTACACAAAACACACGCAGCCATAGAAACATTGATACATAAAGAAAAAGAGTTTAAAAACAAAACACAGAAGCCCAGAAAAGCTCACAGCTCTATGCCTAAAGACACAGAAAGGGCCACAAATTCTCAAAATCAGACAGGAAGAAACACAGAGCAAATGTAAATTAAGAAGCCAGAAAGCTCGGTACAAACACACCCCTAACTAAATACAGACCTGTAAGTGTATAAACTCCAGGCTGACAGAAGCATTTATTTCTTTGGGATTTAAAAAAATAATGTACCGTTGTAAATAGATTTTTAACTCCCTCCCAATAAGGCCCTTACAGAGATAATTTTTAAATCCCAGAGAAACACATTATAGTTATATAATTTAAATTCCCCAAATAACACCACTGTAAATGGATTTTGAGAAAATTCCGGAGAAACGCGCCATTTTGGATTGACTTTTTAAAATCTCCGGAAGAATAATGTTGCATGTAGATATTTTAAATTCCAGAGACCTACACTTAGTATATTAATTCTTTCAAAATCGAAAGATAAAGTTAAAATTGTTAATTCATCCTCATAGATTTGGTTCAAAAACTCAATCTATGATTATATATCTCTCTAGGTTTTAAAAATAAAACCAACCAAAGACCGCACTTAAAACTTTTGAAAACAAAAGTATAGTTCAGCGTTGATTGTGTTTTAACCAAGCAAACAGAACCTCTCAGAAAAATCACTTAGGGATGCAAAAGAGAAACAAACAGAGATTAAGAAAGTGTAAAGAAACACTCAGCTGTGTATTAAGAAATGAACAGAAGAAACGAGCAGAAGAGGCGCCCATGCCAGGGAGCTCTGAGTCCCTCGGGGACCCGGGCGGCTGCGCTGGGCAGCGGATTCGCTACCCCACTGCCCGCGCCGGCCACCCCCGGGCCCAGTTCGCTGCTGGAAAAAAGCTCCAGCTCGTACAAAAAGGCAGCGCGGAGGGAGACGCGCCGGAGCCGGGGTGGGGGCCAGGGCCGGGCAGCTCCGGGCTTCGGCTGCACACGTGGGCCGGATCCCTCGATCGGGGTTCGGGCTGGCCTTGCTGGGAGTCCGGCCGCGCCTCTTGGCCCGCTCGCCCTCACCGTCTTCTGTGTCTTCCTTCTACTTGATGACCCCCTCTCCCCGTTTACCCTTCCCGCCCGCCCCTTCTCTTTGGTCTCTCTCTTTCATTCTGTCGCCTACTGTCACGGTGTTAGCCTCTCTCTCTGTCTCTCTGAGCGCGTTCTCTCGCCCGTCACCCCCATTCCTTTCTCGGTCTGCTCCTCTCCCTTCGTCCGAGTCGCTTCTTAGCGCCCAGTTGCGCAAATCCAATTTTCCCCTGTTCTATTTACTCCTGATCAAGAGGGGCTGTCAGTCCAACCCTCTAGCTGTAGGCTCATGCATCTGCCAGTCTCTTGGCGCGTGGGGACCGCGTGGAAGTGCCTTCGCGTGTGCGTAAGTTTCCGCGTTCACCGTCAGGTCGAGAACGGGAAAAAGCAAGCTCCTGACGCTTCTGGGGCGGAGAGGGAGCTTGGTTGCACGGCGCGGGCGTCAGGCCCTGCTCCCAGCTCCCTGTGCCCCGCGCCCAAGTAGGCTCCGTGCGCGCCGCGCGGGGAACGGCGCTTACCTGGCAGCTCCGTGTCAGACGACTCGCTGGCGGAGTTCTCGAGCTGCTCGCGGTGGTCGGCGGGCCGGGCCAGGTGGAAGGCGGGCCCCATGTCATGGGGTGGCGGCGGCGGCGGCCGGAGCCCCTCCGGTAGCCGCTCCAGGCTCATGCCCCCCTTGAAGGCGTCCATGGAGGTGGGGACCGCGGCGGGCGCTCCAGGGGCCGGGGCTGGGCGCGCCCCGCCGCCCTGGCTGCGACCTGCGGGGATAAGAGCGCAGCGCCTAAGCAGCTGCCCTCCAGGGCTGCCGGCGCCCGCAGCGACGCCGTACCCGCCCCATGGACCGCCCGGGGCTGCGGGGCCGGGCGGGCAGAGGCGGCGGCAGCTTCTCGCGACCGGGCGCCTCGCTCAGCGCTCTGCGCTGCGCTTCTGCCGCTCGGGCCTTAGCAGCCGGGCCGGCCCCGGCTCCGGCTCCGGCTCGCGATCCGGGGCCGGTTTCTAAGGCTCCGGACGGCGCCGGCAGAGTCTGTCTTAAAGCGACAGCGCGCACAGCCAGGTTCCAGCAGTCCCTGCGCCAGGGGTGCTGGGTGGGGTGGGCCTGGGTGGGAGGGGGCTGGGGAGGGAGCGAGCGAGCGAGGGAGCGCGGGCGGAATCCAGCCCCAAGCCGCCCGCGCCGCCGCGCCCTCTCTGCCGCCCTCCCTCCCTCCCTGCCTCGCCCGCGCCCTCCCCCTCCGCAGCCACCTTCCCGCCGCCTCCCCGCCCCCCGCGGCCTCGCCGCGCCTCTCCCTCCTTCCCCGGTGACACACCGAGTTCTCCCTCGGCCTCACAAAAGAAACGCATCTGGCCTGCAAGTCCCGGGCGGCTCGTGCCCACCTCAGGCCCCAAATGACTTGTTTCGCCTAGAATCAACTCCCGTCTCGGCCGCCTCGAAGTCCCCAGCGCTGGCGAGAACAGCCCAGGATGAGTGAATGTTTGCCGAGCAGGATCGCACGGAGCGGGCGCCTTCGAGCCAGCGCCGGGGCGGGGGCAGAGCCCGGGGCCCGTTCCGGCAGCTCCCAGCGGTGTCCTCGTCGAGGGGCCGCCTGCCCCTCCTTCTCCAGCCTCTTCTCCCGGGAACTCAGCCCGGCTGAGTGACAGCAGCCTGCGCTCTAATGGGCCCCCGGATGCTGCCTCCTAATTAGCTTGGACCTTCTCCCCTAAGGCTGCTTCTCAGGCCTCCCTCTCTGCACCGCAGTCAATTTTCCGGGATTGGGATAGAAATGATGGCTTCTAATCAGACGAAACGTTTCTGCTGGCTCTAGGCGTTTGGAGAATGCAGAGGGAAGACCCCAGAATCCCAGCCAGGCCCCACAGCCTCTTCTACCTCTCCCCTTGTTTTACACCTTACGCTTTGGCCAAATGGGCCAGGCCTGGCCTTGGCAGGCATGGGGTTGGCCTTGGCAGCCTTTGCCCTCCTTCAGGGTAGCTTTGTCCCAGCCTGGGGCCTGCATCCTGGCTTCCCAGGGCTTCAGGCACAGGCCTGGTAGGCCAGGTGACTGCTGTCTCCCAACCCTGGGCCAGCAGCCCAGGAAGCCCTCAGTCTTCCAGCTTCTCTCCCACACAGTGGTAGCTGAGTTGCAGCTCCAATGGGCCTTCACTGGGCACAGGCAAAGACATTACTCTCCCACTCCCAAGAGTGATTCCCTCCTCAAGTCCTTGCACGTAGGTGAAGTTTGTCGAAGGATTTTGCTCAACAATTGTTAGCTGGCCCCAAGACCTCAGCGTCTTGAGCAAACAGGCCACAGCTGGGGCGGCAAGGCACCGCCCTGACCTGCTTCTCTGGCCATAGGCGGACCCCAGACTGCCCTCTGCCCCTCACCTGTGACCAGCTCCACCAGACACAGCAACCCAAGGGAGCAGCGCCAGGGAGATTGTCGGTCTGGGAAAGAAGCAGGGAGGTGTCCAGTGTCCTCACCCCAAAACCTAGTGCCTCCTCAACTCCTGGGTGGGTGGCACTGACTGCGCAGGTGTCGGCATTTGGGGCACTCTGCAGGTTCTGCCTTTGAGTCCTCGCCTTACCCCTTCCCGTCACAGGGAGACACCCACGGTCAGCTGAGCTCCTTGTGGGGACTGCTGGGGCCAGGGGCAGGCACACAGGCTGGAACCAGGCCTGCCTTCCATTCCCTCCATGTTAGTCCAAAGCACCCCTGCCCCCATCCCCCACTCTGGGCCATGGAGAGACAGCACAGCTCCTTAGGGCCTGGCCCTTTCTCACTGTGCGTCTGTGACCATAGAATGCAGGGTCTGAGGCCAGAGGGATGACACTTCCCAGGAGTTTGGGTTGGGGAGGTTCAGTGACTTCTGCCTTCTTCCAAGCTGAGATCTCCCTCCATGAAATGAGTCTTGGTCATGGGCAGAGGAACATGGGGAAGCACAGTTGCCCAGCATTTGTCCTCAGCCCCACCTTTACCACGTTTCTTGGAGTCTCCAGTAGAAGATCCCTCCTTTCAAGGAGATATTCAGGTGCTGCAGCATGCTGGGGAGTGTCCCTTCACACACCATTCTCCTTTTAGCTGCCTTATCCCATAGAACAGCCTGAGTGCAGACAGCATGGGGGCACGCGCGCACACGCACATCCTATATATCCATGCGGAGATGCTGTGCACACACATGTACTCACTGCACTATGGAAGCGCTGAGTTTAGGCATATGTGTGCTACTTGGCATGAACACCGGCTGGCATGGGATAGGAGGTGTGTTCTAACCCCGCCACATGTCAGGCCAAGGTGGGAAGCACCGTGCGTCTCTGGGCAGAGACTTAGAAATGAATGATCTGTCTGTGGGCATCCAGAGGAGGTTGGGACTCATAGACCCCTCACTTCCCAGAGGGACCAAAGTGACTCTTTGGGCCATCCCCCAATGGGGACTGTTTTGTGAGCAGCACTCACTGCTTAGTCTGAGGGGCTGTATCCTCACTGTTAGTGCATTTAATGCAGTTATTGAGCACCTGCTGTGTGCCCCTCTGGGCCCAAATTTCTGGCAGGGCTCCAGGCAGGCACAATAGTCCCTTTATTTGGTGATCTTGATGCCTGCTGTGTAGATGGAAAAGCCCTCAGACTGTTTCAGGTGAAGCCCCGTATCCTCAGGGGACCTGAGACCCAAAGAGGGGCTGGGGCTAGTGGGGCCTGCTGGCAGAGTCTGTTCTGCTGGGCCTGGGCAGCACGGAGTGATCAAGGAGTGAGGAGGCAATTGATTGTGAGGAGGCTGTGGCCTGATCTTGGGCATTGGCTGGGGAAGGGACCTGGACACGCTCTCTGTTCTTCCCCAGCTACTCTCTCTCACTGGTCATTGTCCCAGTCAAGATAGGGGCTTCTTGCACACTCATGGACGTGTCACACACACAGGACAGAAAACAGCACTCCTTCAGGAGTAAGCAGAGGCTCTGTGTTCTCCCAGCTGCGCTGGGTGACCTGTGTTTGCCTCAAGGCAAAGACTTGATCTGCCTTGAGCCTCAGTTCCCACGTCCAACACCGGACTCTGCCTGCTGCTTCAGTGTCCAGCTCACTTGCTGATGGGACAGGAAGAGAGGAGGGAAGGGGGCTTAGTGGAGCTGGAACCATGTGCCCTGTTCCCCACCCCTCCCTGACCACACAAAGCCAGCAATGATTCTGTGATGTTCAAGAATTTTGGAGTTTAGGGTCCTGGCTGGGCTGAGCAGAAGAACCTGGGCTGTTGTGGGGTTGAAGTAGTCACCACGAGGACCCTTCCTGAAGCCTAGCTCACTAAAAACAGCCTGTGCCCAAGAATGGTTTAGTAATGTAATTTGGGCAGGGTGGTTGGAAGGCTTTTATGGGTGGGGGCCATCCTTCTACCCACCCATGGGGGCACCCTGCTCTAATCCTTGCTCCCAGAATCAAGGTATTTTAGGAAAAAGGAAGGAATGTGCCATGACCTGCCACCAGGGCTATCCATGACTCTCTGGGACATTCCAGCCCTAAGCCTCTTAGTCTGTGGAGAAGTTCAAACTTGAAAACCCAGTTTTGGGAGTGCAGGTTTGGACCACCTACCTCTTTCTGCCTGATCTAATACCCCCTCCCCAATAAAAGCTCCTGTTTCTTTGAATACAGCAATTACTGGGTAAGTGGGGAGGAAGGTGCTCAGGTAGGGGCTGGAAAGACCTCACTGGCTCCTTTAGGCTTCCTGGGACCCCAGTCTGAGGCTTCCTGCCAATTGGGGATCCCCAACCTGTCCTGGGGACAGCCAGGATGTATTTGGGCAGGACTGCCGCCAGTGAAGCACAGATGGGAGTATGGAACTCAGGACTCTGTGCTGTGGGCCCCTCAGTCAGCGGCTGGTAGGACCCATGGCTCTCCCCAGCCCATCTCTCACCTAAGTCCATGGATGCTGTCTGGTTCCTGAGAATGGCTGAGCTGGGGGGAAGAAGACTAGGAAGGACGTAGCAGCTGGTCGCACAGCTGGGGAGCAGGGGCAACTTATGGATGCACCATAGCCTCCTCTTCCCAGCGGTTGCTTTCATGGGAGAAGAGCACCCTGAGCCTGTCTGGAGGCCTCTGCATCCTAGAGTCCAGACAGCCTGGTCTCCACGCCCCAGCCCACCTCTTTTCCTTTCCCTGGAAGAGAGGCGGGAGGCCCAAAGCAGCCCCAGGAAAGGGTACGGGGACAGCAGGTCTTCTGTGCTGCCCCTGCTGCCTGTAGCTTTTGCCCTGACTACCCTAGACCTGAACCCTAGACCTGAATCCTCCCCTAGTGGACAGCAACCTGGGATTTCCTCCCTCTGACCCTGGTGGCTTTCAGAGGTCACAGGGATATCAAGAGAATACACAAGCCTTAGTTTTTCAGAAAAGTGAACTAAATATTTGTAGATTCAGGGAATTCCTAAATCGGAAAAGTTTGGGACCCGGATTCCAGCCTGGGGTTCCCATTACTGCGATACCAGCTTTGGGGCCCTTTGCTGCGGGAGAATAGGCTCCAATTTACGAAGCTGGTCAATTTCAGAAATCCGAGACCCGGTTCTTGAGAAGCGGCTGCAGTGCTCTGGGACCCTGCGTCAACAACCAAACCCGGGAGAAGCCGCGGGAATGTCTTTATTGGACGTTACGAAGGAAATTTGGGGTTTCTCTCCTGGGAAGAAAAAGCCCGACCTGTGCCGGCGAGGGCAGGCCGCCATGGGCTGGGGGCACCTCCGAGCGCTGCGACGGGACGTCTGGGTCCGGGGCGAAGAGAGCCAGGGCGCGGACCGACGTCTGCTGCTTTTCTGCGGCATTGCTGCCCGAACGAACGAACGAACGAATGAAGCGGTTTCGTTTAGGAAAAATACCCTCTTGAAGCGAAGCCACGGCCGAAGTCCCGGGCCACGCAGAGGGGCCAGCACTTCCATGGGTGGTGGGGCACTCTATCGCTGGACGCAGCGGGGAGCAGCGGGCGGCCCTCTCTCCTGCCCACTTCTCCTGGGGGTGGGGATGGGGGCCCTGCGTCCCGCGTCGCCGCGAGGGTCTGCCACGGGCTTCCCAGGTTGTGCCCTTCGCGGGGCCGTGGCCCATGCCCCCGAGGCTGCTACCCTCTTGGGGTGTCCGGATCTAAAGCAGAGGGTTGATCCCACCAGTTAGGTGGGGTAGCACCCGGTGACGGCGGCTATGATTGTGCCCTGGGTGCAGGAACGAGCTCCTCGCGCTGCCTCGAAGGCTCCTGACCTTCCGCGCCTTGCGCTGTCAGGCGCTGCCGGCTGGACCCACACACGCCAGAAGCAAACTGCGCAGGACTCGGCCGCCACCTCCCTGCGCCCCTCCAACGCGGAGACCCTGCGCCCCTAGCCCAGCGTCTCTTACCCCACCTGGGCAGCGCTGTGTCTGCGGCTCGTTGGCTCCGGGCTCGCCCGCCGCGGACTCTGGCTCAGGTTTCGGCTCCGGCTGTGGGACCCGGATCCAGCTCTGGCTCTGGCACTGCACGGTTCTTCGACCCCTGCTGGTTCGCTACATCCCAGCGCGCGAGGCCGGGGCGGCCTCGGCTCGGCCCGCTCCTCCTGCCGCCGCCGCCCGTCGCCCGCGGGGAAGGCGGGGACACCGGCCGGGAGGCGGGAAGCGGGGGAGGGGAAGCTAGGCGCTCGCCGGGACCTGAGGGGAGAGGGGCGGCGCGCAGTCCCGCCGGCTAGGGGTCCCGGCCTCCCTCGGGGCGCAGGCTGGGGTCCGCGTGGCTGGCGGCCGGGTGTCGAGGCCCGGGAGCTCGCCCTGGGACCTCCGTGGAGGCGCCCGGCCGCATGCGGACCAAGCCGCAGCGGGTCCCAGCCTGGCCCTGGCGCACTTTCTCTCCCTGGGCCCAGTTTCCCACCTGACTTGTGAGGGGCTGGCCCTACTTCCGTTTAGACAGGGGCTGGTGGTCGAGTCGGGGGTTTTGAGATTGGACCTTTCTTCTTTCTGCTCAGCCTGCGGGAGGGAGCTGGTCTTGCGTGTTGGCAGGGAGAGTCCGCTGCCCAGAGCGTAGCAGCCAGGGAGGTTTGAGGACAGACCCCAGGGTTTCTGTGTTTGGGAGTAGGGGGTGCTAGGGAGGGGCAACCACCCGACCTGCCCTGTTTGGGGGATTGCCTCCTTCTCTCTCCTCAGGGGCTGGGCTGGTGAGGAAAGGGCAGACCAACCCCTCAGGACAGACACTTCTGGGGCCCCTTGTCCAACCCCTATGCCTGCACATCCCCCAGCGGCCATCCTGCTCCGAGCCTGCGAACGGTGACGCCTCCACCTCCGTGGCCCCGCAGGCCTGTTCCTGGCTGGCTGCCACTGGGAGATGGACTGGACGCAAGGGAACTGGGAGCCTGCCCTTTGCCCATCCTCAGGCCACAGGGCTCCCCAGCGTTGCCCCGTGGCCAGATAACCCTGTGCGCGAAGCCTCATGGGGGAAACCAGTTGGCCGAACCTACTCCTGGTACCCCGAAGTGCCCAGCCTGAGCCTGCTTGCTGCTGGGATTCTGGGATGGGACCACAGGGCAGGTCGAGCTGTGGCCTGACCCTCTCAGGGACGGCCGCGGACGGCCACGGGCTCCAGAGCGACCGTTTCGGGCGCAAGGTGCCGGGAGATGGCAGCGCGGCAGCCGGGCGTGAATGTTTCATGAGGTGCAGTCAGCAGCGGCGCCTCCCTGCCTGGTTCTCGCCGACAGCTGCTGCGGGAGAGGCCGCGACCCGCGCCACCTCGGCGTCCTGCTAGTCCATGCCTCCAGGGCGGCTTGGCCTGGGAACGCAGAGGCCCACGACGCCCTCCCCAACCTCCGAAGTGGGAAGCTGGCCCGACCCAAGCTCACAGAGGCCTCGGCATTCAGGCCTTGCCAGGTGGCCCCTGAACCCTGTCGTGCTGTTCGGGGGACTCCATACCCTCCTCTCAACCCTCAACAGCAGGAATCCCTCTCCAGTGGTGTGTGCCGGGCTCTGTGCACCCGGGGTTGAGTCCCCGATGCCGGCACTAGCGGACCCTGGACGTGGAGAAAGTGCAGTCTGCCGACTTGGACCCTGTGCTGTGGGCATTTTAGCCCCCTACGTCCACTCCCCCCCATTGACTGCTGTATGTGTAAAATGGCTTGTTGGAGGGTCCAGCCCTAGAACTGCTAAGCCGAGAAGCTTCCAATCTTGTCTCTGGAATCTTCCTTCCACTCCAAGCACCAGGGGCATCTTTGGGCATAAATGCAACCGCTGGACCTTACTATGGAGGGCTGCACAGGCACTCCTGGGGTGGCTTTTACTCTGGCGTCTGTAGCAGGAAATCACACCTTCCCCCCTCCCTGCATGCCCCCTCCCTGCATGCTAGCAATTTTCCGAGTTTTGTTCTCATCTCTTACGAGATTTTCTGCATGCTCTTGTCCCCAGGCAGGGCCTATGGTGCCAAAAAATGCTGCCTCTGGCACCTGATGGCCTGAGCCTGAATCTTGTCAGTGGCTTTTACTAGTTGTGTGACTTTGGCAAATAACATAACCTCTCCTAGCCTCAGCTTCCCCATCTGTGAAATGTGAGAAAAAGAATTCCTGCTTCTTGGGAAATGGATGAGATAATGAAGGTGAGAGGCTTGGTCCTGAGTCCTGTGGACAGAGGGGCTGAATGCTAACGGTGATAGATGCCAGGTTGTTCTTTAAGAGAGTTTGCTCTTGTTTTTGTTTCCTTCTTTCTCCACGGTGGTCATGTTGGTTGAGTCTAGGAGGAACAGATCCCTTTTCTGATTTAGTTTATCTGCCCTCATCCCCTGCTTAGGTGCTAGGAAGTTTGGTCTAGGAAAGCTGGCCAGGCTGGTGAGTGGGGCACACCAGGGCCTGGAAGTCAGGAAGTTCTTAGTGAAACTTGGGGGGTACAAAACACACTTTTTATAATCTTATTTTCCCTTCTCTAAAAAGATTTTTTTTTTCAATTTCCCTTTAGTTTTGACATCTTGGGGAGCATATATTCCCACTGGCACAGTGGAATCGGGAATCAGAGAGAGAAGAGATTTGGGGCAGGATTCACCAGGAAGAGAAGTAGTAGTCACTGTTCCTGAATATCACTTTACTTTTCAGCTTCCAGGTGCCCCATCAAAGAAGGTCAGCAGAATTGGCTGAATTTTCTTTGTGTTTCAGTCCAAACTACTGTGCTTCCTCTAATATAAATTTTTCTCCCTAGTGCAAAACGCTTTGATGAATTTGTTACATGGGTTCATGCTGAACATAATGAGCAAATGTCTGCAGCCACTATTATACAGAGGACCATAACAATTCTTCAGGCAGTGTTTTTTTTTTTTGTTTTTTTTTCCAAATCTTAATACCAAGTAAAACTAGGGGGAGTATTCTTTTCCTTCATAGCTCTTATTGCAACAGTATTGAAATTAAATATTTGTGTAATGATAGATTAAAACCTGTTGCCCCTACCAGTTGTAAGCTTCTTGAGAACAGGGCTGAGCGTCTCTTGGCAACAACTATAGGACCCTCCCCAGAGTGGGCAAGGGATTTAGTTATGTTGATTGACTGGGTACAGCTTACATGCCCACTCCTGCACCAATCACTTTGTGGGGGAAGAGTGGCTCAGGCCTTTGCTTGGCCAGGGTCAGAGGCTGCACCCCAGAGTCACCATGCTCCTCCAAGAGTCCTGGCATCTATTTGGAACAAGTTCTCTGAGTTGGTGGAGGGAAAGGGTTGGTTTCCAAAGAAGACTCTGCCCTGTGAAATTTCTCAGGGGGCTGCTGATGGTATGGGTAGCAAGTCCAGTCCAATGTGATGGGGAGGGATTGGCTCTGTTGGGAGAGTCTGAAGTCCATCAGAATTGTTCCTGCACTCATCTGTGGGGAGAGGTGAAGCACTGCCAGAAAGTCGGAGGGGAAGCTCGGAGTCTTGATTACCTGTAGGAATGGATCCACAGAGTAAGGAAGGGAATGTATTTGTGCTCCCTTTTTTATCTGTGAGAGGGAGGAAGTTTGAGGCTTTAAAAGTAGAGAGGACCCCCTAGGATCAGGTAAGATATTAATGTATTTGAGCATTATTCTATTGCATTGTGCAAGTATTGGTAGTCAAAGCAAAATGAGAAGCTATTTGGGCATCTGAAGTATTGTTTTCATTGTAGTCCTCTCAGCATCTGCATGGAATACTGGACAGAACCCTGTCCTGAGACCCTCCTAGAATGGCCTCTCAGGTTGAAAAAAATGTAGAGAGCACCTGTTTTGTGCCTGTGATTGCAGAGATACAGAGATAGGTGGCTCCTGTTCATTTGGGTTGAGTCAAGGAGGCAGACACAGAAATCCATTACATAGTGGGAGCACAGTGTTGGAGAGAAATCTGCAGCCTGCTGTTGAAGTGTCTTGAGTGACACACAGAGGAGTTGGCTGTAACAGTTTTTCTACCACCTGGGGACCCCTCCCTAGGAAAATATAATGTGCAAAGGATCTGAAGTGAGATAAACTGTGGTGTGCTTGATAATAAAGGAAGACAGTGTGGCTTCATAATAGCACTGGAACAGATGAGAAGGCAGGGCAACAGGGGAAGAGGAAGTTGGAGAATCAAGTGGGAACCAGATCCCACAGGGCTCCATAATCTTTGATAGGAGGGTGGGATGTTATCCTGAAAGCAAAGAGGAGCAGATGAAGGGTTTGAACAGTGAGAGACCTGGCCAGATGTGTATCTTAAAAGCCCACTCTGCCTGGAGAGAGGAGGATGGATTTGAGGTGAGATGGAAGCATATTATTGCAACATCATTTGCTGAGCTGCCCAGCTTCTCTATCTATCCCTTCATTTCTCTATCAATCCATCAGCCTTTGTCCACTCATCTGCCATGAATGCAGGAGGCCACAGCTTGGCATGGGAAATGTGAAGGTGAGACATTATGGCCCCTGCCTTTCTGGAGCTGCCCCTCGAAGACCTCAGTTTACCCATCTGTAGGCCTAGTGAGTCTCATGATCACAAGCTCTGCAGCCAGTGCCTTGCTCTCCCTCCAGATGTCTCCCTCCTGCACAGGACACAGAGTGCTCAGGGCCTGAAGGGGCACAGCCACTATCACAGATAGACAATTCGGGGAGCCAGTACAGTGAACAACCCTGTCGGAAGCTTTTAAAGTAATTGCCCCTGCCCGCACTGGCTGACTGGCTGATGGCAGCCTATTAGCCCTGAGTTGGAAATTCTGAATTGTTTCATGATAATTGAACACAGGATTGGAGGCTGGGAGGGAGTGGCCCATGAAATATTTATGTTTCCTCAGTGTTGTGGGCTGCTACCCTTTAGCCTGGGAACCCTGGAAGTACGGGGCTGGTGGCTTCACAGTGACTGCCATTGTTCCTGGGGGTCCTTGGGTCACCTCCCTGTGGGGAGATAGGAGTGCATTTTGTGCAGTTGTAAGGGTGGTTGGGGGCCAGCACTGCTATAGCCTCATTCCATGCTGTGCACCCTGGCACTCCAGTCTCACTCTAGTACTAGAGAGGGAACAGAACCTGGGGACTTGAGATGCTCTATGTTTATTCCTGGCCCCAATTCTCCCTGTACTCAAGGCTCCCAGGAGTCAGCCTGGGTGCGAGCGTCAGTTCTGCCCCCTTAGCATTGTGAGCCTTGTTTTCTTAGCCATTCAATGAGGGATGCAGAGTTCTTGCCTCGCAGGGTTGTGAGGGACAGAGATGCCCATATGCGGAGGGCTTGGCCCTCAGCCACAGCTCACGAGACCATCCCAAGCAGCCCTTGGTAGATCTTAGGGTCAGGCCAGGGCTGGCTATGGGAGCCCCTACGGGATCCCCGGGGCTTTGTGGTCTCTTTTCCTCTGCAGATGCTTTGGAGTAGTCTGTGTTTTTCCCTTCTCTACAAATCCTAAATAAATATTCATGCTAGGAGGGTCTGTGCCAGCCTGGCAGGCATTTCTGGTGGGTGGGGTGCCCTAGAGTCTTGGTAAGGAACCCCATATGCCCACCAGCCTAGGCCTTTGCTCATTAGATTGAGGCTCCGCCATGGCAGAGGAAACTGGTGGGTGGTTCCTGCCTGGCTGCCTGACCTCGGAAGCTGCTCAGGGGCAGCAGGAGAAGGACCCTTGCTGTCTGAGCTCTTGGCTTGCCAGCCTACCAGACAGCCCAGTGAGGGGCCCACTTTTCTTACCTTGGAGGGTGGTATTTATTCATCTTGCAGATGAGGAAAATGGAGGCAATACTTCAGTCGTTCATTCAACAGGCAATTATTAAGTACCCACTCTATGTGCTGGCATTGGGTGGGGTGCTGGGGATTCAGGAGTGATGGACAATGCTGATGCAATCCCTCACAGGGGATCAGATCCAAAGATGAATGCATCTTTAGAAGTGGTGCCGGTTTGGAGCCATGGGAGCACAGAACAAGGAGAGCAAAACTAACCTGGTGGTCAGGGCAGACTTCCTGGAGGAAGTGACCTACTGGCTGAGCACTGAGGGTAGCAGGGGTTTACCCTGAAGCTGGGATGGGGGCAGGGCCATGACAAAGCTAGTGAAGGGCAGGTGCATCTGGATGTTCTTATCTACCTGGGGCTAGGTGCACAACACCCTGTGTGCCCTCCTGCCCCTGCTACCATGAGGAGCCTAAAGAGGCACCAAGAAGGGTTTCCATGGCTCCAAGGTGCTGGGTTCCTTGCTGATCGTCCTCTCTGGGCTTTATTTTCTCACCTAAAAAATTAGAAGTGAGGTTAGTTCTAGCAACAGGGCACATTTTTCAGATGAAACTTTACTAAGACCCCTAAACAGAGGAATGAAGTGATGCCCTGGTTGCTGTCTGCTCTCCCCTGTAGCCCCTTCGGATGCAACAGATACCCCCGAGGAGCTCCAGAGCTCCCTAGGCCATAGTTTGCAAACTGTAGGAGCCCCTTTAGAGGCTTTCCAGCCCAGCCTCCAAGGGTCCTGGACCCTGGGGATAGCCAAGGCAGCCTCCCTCTTTATCCCTCAGGGACCTGTTTCTTGTTCCTTTTAAATGTCCTGTTAGCCGTTTGTGATTGAAGTCAGCAAGCATCTGTTGAATACCTACTGGATGCATGCAGAGGGGCTAACACTTTCTGAGCACCAGCTCTGTGCTAGGTCTGAAGTGGGCTCATTGTATCAGGCTATTTCCCCATCACAACTGGCTGCCAGCTTATTTTACACGAGGAACTCAAATTGGTTGAGGCTCGCTGACATGGCTAAAGCCCCAAATAACAGTAATAATAACACCAGCTCGCATGGATTAGGCCCCCAGGTGTGTGTCAGGTCTTTGCAAACATCTTCCTGTACATTAGCTGCTTTAGTTCTCAAAGCGAATCTGTAGAGCAGGGACTGTTTCCATCTTCAAGGATCAAAGAAGTCAAGTTGCAGGGAGGTGAAAGTGCTGCCTGGTGTCTGGGTTGTGTCTGGGGCTGCTCCCTCCCTCCTGCCTTTTGCCGGGGAATCTGAGGCAGCTGCAGCCACGGCCTCCAGGATAGTGGGCTCCCCTCTGTGTTCCTACTGTATATGCAGGGAAACTGAGGCCCAGAGACTCACTCTCCCTGGAATGTGTCTGCTCTCTGGGGCTCCATCTGGCACTGACCTCCATCTTTCTTCATCCTGGCATCGACTATGAAATGAGAACCTGGCGTCTCCCCAGAGACCTTGCCTTACTGGGGACTGTCTGCCTGTCTAGCAGCATGAATCAGGGCACATTGACCTCAACTGGTTGGGCAGAACCATCCTGGTGAGTCCAGGACACAGGGTGGGGTCAGCCCCTCCCATGGAGGCTGGAGCTGGGGGTGCACCTGTCTCCCCTTCCCTTGCCTCCTGTTGGATTCTAGCTCACCCTCGGCCCTCCACCTCAAGCCTTGAGTCTTCACAGGCTCCCCCACCCCCTTCTCCAAAACTCCTCAAGTGCCTGTACTTACGTGTGACTGTCTGAGTGACAGGGCCTGGATGCTATTCTTGCCCCAGGGGGAATGCATGGTACTGAGGAACAATGGTGGCATTTCAGGCAGGGTGAAGGGACGCTGAACTTTTGGTGGATAGAGAGACTCCTACCTTGGTATACCTGCAGTGG